GTCCCCTAAGATCCTTTGATGTTGAACAAACAAAATGCTGATGTATTTTCCCCTGTACATGCTACTGTAGTTATTCTGCCCAAGTCATTATTCATGCCCTCGCTTTCTCATTTGCCAAGTTCTACAGGAAATGTACCAGCTCCAGAATGCGGGAGTGCAGGTAAGCGACTGCAGAACCTAGGCCTGTGAGGACACTGGGGTTTCCTTACAGCCAGCGTCATCTGCCAGAGGCTGCCTGATGTCCAGAAAGAGTCTGCACTTGGGTTCAGATCCCAGCTCTCATTTGCTGGGTGACTTAGGATAAGTTACTTAACTTTTCCACTTGTTTTTTTTTTTTAATCTGAAAGTTAAGTTCATGATCCTTGTTGCAGAGGGCCATCATAAGGATTTAATGAGGTGATATGTATTAAGTCAGGTGAGGGCACATAGTAGGTGACAAGTAAACCACAGCCTTTGCCAGACTGGTAGAATGTTAAGTATTGCAGTGTCTTCCAATGAAGGTGGAAGAATGCCTCAGGGTACCTCTGGAGGTTGAGGCAAGGGACTTTGGGACAGTCATTTCCTGTCTTGGCAAAGTGTAACGAGCCTGTGAAAGCATGATATACAAGGACTGCTCAAAATATATAGTTAATGTTTAAATATAAAAATTTTATGACAATATAAGACATGTTGCCATTAATCTTCCTCAAAATACCTCACGCTTCAAACACAGTACCCTATTGTTTTTGCCATGGTTTTTAAAAATCTTTTTTGAGCCAGGGTCTCGCTATGTGTGTAGTTCAGTATGGCCTTGAACTCACTATGTAGCTGAGGCTGGCCTTGAACTCATGGCAATCCTCTTGCCTCAGCCTCCTGAGTGGTGAGATTATAAGCATGCATGACTATACTTGTTCTCGCCACTTTTTGAAGCAGTACTGGAAGTCCTCTTTCCTGAGTGTCTTTATGAGGTGTGATCAAAAATACAATGAATGCTGTTGCCCAGTGCCATCCAGTGGAAAGCAGGCTTGTAAAAATATCTGTGTCCTTATCCACCTTATTCACCAGCTCTGGCACCATACAATTTTTTTTTTGGTACCAGAGATCGAACTTGGGTCCTTGCGCTTTCGAGGCAGGTGGTGGAACCACTGAGCTAAATCCCCGGCCCGGCACCATACAGTTTTTTGAGTCTTCCCCAAAGTCAAAATGACCATGAAAGGCAAACATTTTGAATTGATTCAGGACATTGATGCCAGGGATTTAGCTCAGTGGTTCTGGCGCTTGCCTTGCAAGCACAAGGTACCAAGTTCGATCCCCGGGACCAAAAAAAAAAAAAAAAAAGCATGATTCAGGACATTGAGGCAGCCACTGTAGTGCAAATAAAGACATTCAGAAAAAAGAACTTCCAAAAGTAGAAAAGACAGTGGAATAAATGTCTTTGAAGTGAGGGGGAACACTTTGAGAGGGATCAGTGACAATGTGTCTTTTATTGTAATTTTTTTTCTTTTTCTTTTTTTCCTTTGGTACTGGAGATTGAATTCAGGACCTTGTGCTTGCGAGGCAGACAGCGGCACCACTGACCTAAATCCCAGCGCTATTGTAAATTTTTTAAATAAATAAAATTTAAAATATAGGAAAAATATTAAACTTTAACTATTTTTCAGTCCCCCTTCATAGATGGGCACACATCTCTTTGCTGTGTAGGCTGTCTAGCTCTGTGGCTGCAGTCTGTAATACTCCTTTGGGCCTATTTGGCACTCACTCAGAAGGAGGGTTCCTATAGCTAAGGTTGGTGGTGCTCTGTCTCCACCCCTGCCCCATCGTCTGCTGTTTCCAGGGGCTCAGCTCCACACCTGCAGTTTCTGAGCTGTTCTGCAGAACGACTCAGATTTTCTATTCCCTCTTCCCAGGCAGCAGGCAGCACCTATTTGGAGCACCTCATAAAGATGCCTGCTATTGGGATGGAAGAGCTACACCCTCCCTCCAGGGTCCTTTCCTGGAGGAGCTGTATGGACTCTGTTCAGGAAAAGAGTGCCTCTCTGGAAGGAGTGGGCACGGGACTGTGAATATTTCTGAGGGCCTGCTGGTGACCTCAGATTAGTGCCTCTCACAGCCTAGCCCCTTGAAGGCTTCTCAGTGATTGTCCCTGTTTTATAGATGAGGAAGGAGAGGCCCAGAGAAGTCAGCTTCTTACTCACTACCACCTTGCTTGTCAGTGCCAGAGCTTGGATTTCAGCCAAGGTCTGAGTCACTATTCTTCACCACTGTACTCTGCTCTGTTGCCCAATGGAACTGCTTGGGCCTGGGGGCCACTGTGGTGGGCTGAAGACTGTCATGGCAAGGCTGATGGCCTCCTGAAATGTTTCCTTTTGGAGTGTGCTTCTGGGTACACATTGAAACCTAAAATGCATTGACTCTTGGAGGACAGGAAGAGCTCCAGCCCTGGTGGGGCCTAGCGAGGGGCCACAGAACGTGGCAGACATGCTGATGATGGACATGTGACCATGCTGCTTCTGTTCTTAAGAATGTCCCTCTGGCTCATGTCTCACGTTCAGCTTCTTTACCTATGAGGGCCTTGGCTTTTCCAAGTTCAAATTACTCAGTCCTTGAGAGTTTGTGATTTATGAGATTAGAACGCTTTACTAAAAAAAGAGAATATGAGGTATGATCAAAATGTATGGTGAACATTTAGATTTGTAGAAATTTATTATAGTAAAAGGCACGTTGCCATTGAACCCCCCTTACTTCAAACACTTATCCAATCTTTCTTGCCACTTTCTGAAGCAGTTTTGGAAGTCTTCTTTCCTAAGTGGTTTGTTTTCGTTTGGGTTTTGTTTTGTTTTTTTGGTACTGGGGATTGAACTCAGGACCTTGTGTTTGCCAGGCAGGCACGGAACCACTGAGGTATATCCCTGGCCCTCCTGAGTGTTTTTATAAGGTGTGATATTGGTGAATGGTGCTGTCAAGTGCCATTCAAGTGGAAGACGGGCTTGTAAAAACATCATGGGTGTCCTTAACCACCATATTCACCAAATCTGGCACCATGGAACTTCTGTCTCTTCCCAAAGTCAAAATGACCACGAAAGGTAAACACTGTGAATAGATTCAGGACATTGAGGTAGCCACAGCAGCACAAGTAGAACTGCTTCCAAAAGTGGCAAGAACAATGGGATAAGTGTGTTTGAAGCAAGGAAAAGTATTTTGAGGGGAATTAATGGCAATGTGTCTTTTACTGTTACAAATTTTTTTAAATAAACACTGTATTTTTCGGTCACACCACATATGCTAGTGGGTCCACCTGCTGAACTGCCCTTTCAAGGAGTCTGATGTCTGCCCAGGTGAGTGTGTCTAATGCAGAGGATCTTCCTGGGGCTAGGGTACTATAGGTTAGTCCAAGAGATGGGAGAGTCAAGAGAAGCAAGGCGGCAGGCAGCCTGTTGTTGTCAGGGCTGGGCAGTGGGCGGACATGCAGGCATCCTAGGTGAGCCCTGGTCATAGCATGTATCCTCAAGTGGTAGTGCCAGTGGAGGCTGGAGTGCTGCTGGGCTGCTGGGTGGAATAGCCTTGGCTCTGTTGTACATGAGTAGTTGGCAGGCTTGGAGCCCAGTGGTGAGAGGAGTGATGAGTGGAGGCAGGTGGTCAGAAAAGCACAGATACATGGGCAGGTGATGGCTCCCACAGGAAGGCCAGCACTGATGTATCCACTTATGTGTCCTGCCTCTGGCCCAGGAGATGCAGTAGCTGGAGGGACAGGGCAGGGACGGAGCAGTCCCAGGTATGCAGGAGCACAGGAGGGCTTCTGATTAGGAGTGCAAGGTGGAGAGGGACAAGGAGGATGGGATGCTTGGAGCAGAGAGGCCGTTGCTGATGGAGAGGACTGCACGAGTTGGGCACAGAGGTGCAGAGGCAGGAGAGAAGCTGCAGAAGGAGGTAGACTGGATTGGAGTACCTTGCCAAGGGGCTTGGAATTTCTCCCAAAGGCAATAGAGAGCCCTGAAGGACTGGCAGAGCTGAGGAGTGACGTGGTAACATTTGGAATGCCCATTAGTGAAGTAGCGGTTTAAAGCCCAACCCCAAATGTGGCTGTATTTATGGGTCACAGGCTTTGCAGCTGGCCAAGAGTGTGAGCCATCACTGAGCAGGGCAATTCCACAGGGAACAATTCCACACAGGAATTTCAGGCTTTAAAACCAGAACTGGGGCATTTGGCGGCCTGTCCTCAGGCACTCGTGGCTTGAGGGAGCCTGCCAGCTGAACATGTGCACACTACTTCCTGGGTCAGGAGATGCCTTCTGTGTACAGAGCAGGATCCACCTTTTCTGATTTGGGGGGCCAAAGGGCCTTAGGCAGAAATGTTAAGTGCCTTACATTCCTAGAGTCCTGTTGAAACAGCCCTGTGGTGTCTATCTGTGGATTCTCTCCCCCAGTATTCGACATCTACCTGGCCAGGACATTAACACAGGAACCTTTGTTTTCCTATGGGATCTGAGTTAGGACGGGGTTGGAACAGCCTCTCACCCCTGATTCTGGGGCTCAGTTGCTGGGCCCATGGGAATCCTGTGGTAACACTGGAGCTATCCTGTGTTGGAGGTGAGGAATTGGAGTTGGCTGGCCAGAAAGAAGGATACCTTCAGAGCCTGGCATCTTCAGTGCCTCACTAGGCTGCCTGCTGAACGGAGCACCCTGAGTAAAGAACTGGGAGATGAGCCAGCCTCCTAGCATGCCTTCAAGAGGAGGCCAGGCCAGCCCTGGCCCACCTTCTCATTTCCCCAGCCCCTTTGAAGCAGGCTAGACTCCTGAGCGCTCCTATTCCTCTCTTTACTCATGGCTTCTGCTGGGAAAGGTGGTTGTGTGGACCTGGATGTAGAAATCTCACCACACTACTATTTCTCAATGACAATTGGATGTCTTTTTTGTTTGTTTGTTTGTTTGCTTGTGGTTTTCCATGTAATTCTTTGTAAGAGCTAATCCTCTGTTTCTTCAAGTGTTGAGTAGGCTGAGAAACCTTTTCTTTCTTTCTCTAGCCAGAAATGGATCTCCCCATGCCCCCAGGCAGAGGCAAGAGTCTGGAGTCTGTGCCAAGCCAGCCCCAGGAGCCCATCAGCATGCCCCAGACACTGACCAAGACGCTGGAGCACATCGTGGGCCAGCTGGACGTCCTCACTCAGGTAGGCCATGATGTGAGTTCGCCCAGTCCACACTTAGTCTGGCTTTTGGACAGTCTGAAATTGGCCAGGAGGTGCTAGACTTTTAAAAAAATATAATGAATCTATTTTCCAGTTCAAATTAGTGAAATAGCAATCCCCTGCCCTGGGATCCTGGCCTTTGGAGTCATCCAAGCCCTGGTAGGCCTCTAGATTCCAAAATCACCAGTACTGTGTCCTGCCAGAATATACCCTCCCAGATATTGCCTGGGCCAACACAGAGCTTTGAAAGAAACACTGCTTATCTCACTCCTCACTGGGTGGGCACATGCCAGGGAAATGTAAGCAGTGAGTTGAAGCTTCCAAGAGCCTGGGGTCTGGGTTTGAGCCTGGCGCTGTTCCTTATCCTTCAAGCATCCTTGGGAAAATCCCTTCAGTTTTGTAAACTTTGCTCCATGTATCTGTAATGTGCAGGTGGTTGTGGACTCTGCCTTTCATGTTTGTGGTGAATATTAAGAAAGATAAATTTCTGTGAATTGTTTGGACCAAGCCAAGCTCATGAGTGGCTGGTCAATAAATGTTCACTGTGGCCCTGACCATGACCCTCACCAACAAGGCCGATGTGAGCCCCACTCTAGAACTTAAGTCAGCAGCTTGTAACATAAACTCACAGTGCAGCAATTCCAGGAGGAGCAAAATGCATGCACAAGAAGTGGCAGCCAGTGCTGGGGGAATGGCCAGTGGGGCATCTCACCTGAGAGAGGAAGAATGGCTCTGGCAGAAGAAGCAGCTGCCTGCAGATCTGGGGACTGAGGAAAGCCTAGAGTGGCTGGCAGGTAGTGTGCAGTGGTACAGGGCAGGGCAGGATTTAAAGGTCCTCCAGCACCTTGGTTCCTCGGCTCTTGGTGCCAGGCAGGGACTCTACAGATCCCTGTGTCCCATGCCACCATATGGTGGGTGAGGCTGTGGCCCACTAAAAAAAGTAAAATGTGTAAAAGCTGGAGAACTTGAGAAAACCAGTCTCTGGCCCACAGTGGGGATGCAAAAGATACTTCGTGTCTCTAATCAAAGTGGAGCTGACATGGCATAGCATCCTCTCCCTGCCTCTGTATCTATACAAAGTGACAGAAGCTCCATGTCGTGTCACATCTTGTGTGGCATGTCCCATAGCCCAGCTAGGACTGCATATCTTGGGCCTACCACAGGAAGCACACAAAGAGGGCAGGTGTCAGTAACTGGAGGGAGCAGAATTCCCAGGCAGAGCACACGGACATTTTGGAGTCTCTTAACCCCTGAGAAGAAGGCCTGTGCTGAGAGAGATAGGAGCCATGAGCAGACTTAAAAACCCACTTCAGACCCATCAGAAGCTTCCTGATGTTCTTCATGGCCTCATCAAATGAGAGATCAAGGGAGGTGGAATCAATTAGAACTTTATAGGATAAAATTAGAAATGAAGTCTGAGAAGGTGGTTAAAAATAGCTTCATTGGATCCAGAGGAGTATAGCACTGAAAACATTTCCTGTAACTGTTTTGGGGGTACACATGGGAAGCTTTGTTGTAGTGTTAGCATTAGGAGCATGATGAGAACTTCGCAATGAGCTTATATCACAGAGCGTAAGTGAAGGCTTTCCTGGGACTGTGGCCAGGTGTCTGGATGTCCCTGTGGCACCCGTGCACACCTCACACACTCAGTCCCTTTGTACATCCATATGGCCGTCTACCCCTCTACCACCAAATGCCAAACCAGTCACCTGCTTTGCAAAACTGACGATGCCTATGTGTTCCTGGACACCACAGAGTGTTCCTAATAGACTCTACATGTCCTGAGGAAACTTGGATTCCATAGACAAGGCCTAAGTTTTAGCCTGTTTTTGTACAAGGTACATTTAGGATAATCTAGCCATGTTTTCCTGGAGCTCACCTGTCAGTTGTTTCCTGGCTGACCTTCCCCTCCTGTTCTTGGGGCTCTAGCTCTGGTGTTCTAGCCACAGCTACAGCTCTCACCACCAGGGCATTTTGGATTCCCTCACACCTCTCCCCTTGGGGTTGGCTCAGCAGAGGGCAGACCCACAGACTGACCAGCCCTCTCTTGAGGCCCAGAGCCGGGTAACTACTGCCATGCTTCTTCCCTTGTGACTTGTTCTCCTGGTGTGGTTTATGGACACTGGCCTTGGGGCTGCACCCTCAGTAGGTACTCATCATCTGCTTGGTCCTGAAATGCCTCTGAGCTCTGGAGGGTCAGGAGCCTTGGCCACCCTAGCACTGACTCCTGCTTCAAAGACATCTGTCTGAACCATGCTACTCTGCCTTGTCCTGCCCCACCTCACAGTCCTTTCTCCTACGAAGAGGTCTACTTCTGAGTGGCCTCCTAGAGGGAAATAGTGCCTTCTAAGTCCCTTGCATCTCTATTCTACAGAACATCTTTCCAAGGGAGAACCACTGGGACTGCAGCAGTCAGTGGTCAGAGGTATTTACTAAGTCACAGAGCTTTTAGCCCCTGAGTGACATGAATAGGGCACCACATTATAAAGGCTTATAGTCTTCAAAGCCTGCCTTCTGCTCAACATGGCTGGGTGTTGCTACTGCTGACATGTCAGGTGCTGGTCCTGCTGTTGCCCCTGTCACTACCAGGGCTCAGCAGGGTTGGGGCATCTTCATGACAGGACCATCAGTGCCTCCCCCACTTCCCTACTGCTTCACAGAGCCAGCCAGACCCAACCCTGCTCAGAACCATTCCTTGGCCCTCAGAACAGAGTTGGCAGCTTCCCTCTTCACACACATCTTCCCTAAGATCCATTCCCATCCTTGGGAAGTCCTGGGACTGAATCTGCTGATCTCAGAGCCAGGCCCCCAACAGGCTGCCTGCTAGAGTCACTGGAGTCAGCTGGGAACTGTGTATCCGGGAGCCCAGCATGCCAAGTCAAGGAGGCCATGGGTCCTCTGGTGTATAGTAACAGAAACAGCAGCCCAGGAGCTTGGCCTCCCTGTAGTGGGACACTGAGCAAAGTAGAGTCAGATCCTGACCTAGGCAGAGGCTCTGGGGTAGAGTAGAGTTAGGGACATAAGGAGACTGGGACTTGGACAAGAGGGAGAGCTGTCATGGACCTATCCCTGGAAAAGAACCTCTGCAGAACCTTGGATCAGACTTCACTGCAGGCAGAAGAAGGGAGTGATGAGAGAAGCAGGATTGCTGCTGTCCCTGTGAGACTTCTGCCCTCCTGATCAAGGGGGGAATGGCAGCTTCCCAGCCTTCCCAGGCCAAGGGGCCTCTCAGATCAGGAGGAAACCAAACTGCCCTTTGGGCTTATGCAGCATCAGAAACCCAGTCCTTTAACTCATGAAGTGGAGTTGTACTGTCTTGTTCAGGAATACATTTTTTTAAAACTGCATACGTTATTTTTCAAATACGTGTTTATATGGGGAAGATAGACTTTGAGACAACCCAGCAAGGAATGTGCCCTTTGACCTGTCTCCCGCCTGTTGGTCCCTCCTGAGCAGGCACTCTTCAGGCTGTCCTGGGCTGTCAGGTCTTCCCAGATTGTTATTTTATAGGAAGCTCCCCAAGCATGTGGGGCTCTGAACCTCATCATAGTTATCCTCCTGGCACTTGTCTGAGGTCTGCAGCTTTCCAAGGGCTTCCGTTTGCAGCCCTCACTTTATCCTCGAGTCTGGTGCCCAGCGGGGAGTGCCATGCCAGTGGAGATAGGACATGAATAATGGCTTCTTGTGCTGGGCATTTATGGTGCACACCTATAGTCCCAGCTACTGGGAAGGCTGAGGCAGGAGTATCACAACTTCAAGGCCAGCCTGGGCAACTTAGAGACTTAGTGAGACCGTCTCAAAATAAAAATAAAAAATTGAAAAAGGGCTGAAGATGTAGCTCAGTGCAAAGGTCCTGGGTTCAACCCCTAATAATGAAGGAGGGGAGAAGGAATAATGACTTTTTGTCCCTAGACCAGCCATGGGGTCCCTCAGGCCTGCATCTTCTCCAGGAAGCCAGATGATCCTGATCTCAGCCAGTGTAAGTCAGAGCATTCCCACTTCCCTTGCTTGAACACTTGGTGGAGTTAGGGCTGGCTTCATCAGGAAGTTTGGGCAGGCAGGGAAGGGCAAAGGAAGTAATGAGAGAGTGGAAATCATCAAAGTATGTTACATACATGTACAAATCCGCCAAAGAGAAACCCATTAATCTGTATAACTAATACTAATTTTAGAGAAAATTTCTTACAAACCAAGCATGACTTTAAGAGATAAGGCCAACAAATATTGCTCAGGTCTGTAATCACAGAGCCCAACAGGCTGGTCTCTGAGGTCACCAACCAGAGTGTACACACCCTTCCCTGTCCTGCTCCTCCTGTAGGAGAGCCTCTCTTACCTCTGTGAGGTTGCTGTTTGGGGTTCCATGAGTTCCTCTGCTGAGCTCTTTGAGGCCCTGATCTCAGCTGACACCATGGTCTCAACAACTGTAGTTTGTTCACCCTGATACCTCCCTACCGGATGTGGGCAGGAACCACCCTCCCCCTGGGTTTGAGGGCTGCTTTGCTCAGCTAGAGAGCCACCTATCTTCCTGGATTTGAGGGCGAGTGCCACCATCGATCACCTGGTAACCCTGGCAAGTGATGTCACTCCCACAGCCTCAGTTTCCTCTGTTGTGAATGGGATAGTCATGCCAGCTCGGTCCTCTGAGCACTGTCCTGAAGCTCCTGCTGAACTGGGTGTGCTGAACTGGTGCCAGCTAGATGGTGAGGCACCAGCAAAAGGTGATTCTGTACAAGGGCTGCCTGGGGCCTGGTAGCTGCAGAAGTGGAAATTCCACAGGCCTCTGCTGGATTTGAGTCACAGGAGTGCGTGTGAGCTGCCAGTGAGAATGAGAGTGAGAAGCAGAGGTCGTTCCCCAGCCCGAGGAGGGCATAGGGGTTGACAGAGGCTTGTGGGTGTGTGTCTGTCCCACTCGATACAAGCATTATACCTAGACCAAGGCATCAGGGCCGAGATTGAAGCTTTTCGGAGATGTGTGCTTGTGA